AACTGGTCCTTGCAGGAACTAAGCAGGGTCCCAGGAGAACTGTGGGATGTCTTCCAGGGTGATCCTAGGAGCCTCCCCACTCCCTAGTAAGCCCCATCACTCCTCTACTTCCCAGAGCGACCACACTGGTGACAGAGCACAGGACCCATTGAGGGAGTCGCTCAAGCTGATCAGGCCACAGTGAATGCAATGCATATCCTTGAGCCTGAAGGCCTACTGGAGAGAGAAAATAAAACTAAGCTGTTCATGTTTTATTTACATACAGAGATGCTCTGATTAAAGACCAGCACTTCGGGCATTTTTGTTGTTTAGGATTAATGTCTGCTGACAGCTAATTCATCTTCCAAGTGCTTAACATATGCATGGTCAGGCCCGGTGGTGCACACCTGTGATCGAAGCACTCTGGAAGGCTGAGGCAGGAGGACTGCAAGTTCAGTTCAAAACCAGCCTTGGCAAATTAGTGAGACTTTGTCTCAAAATAAAAACTAAAACTGGATAGGTGCGTAAGTCAGTGGGGAAGCCCCTAGGTTCAAACCCCAATACCACACAGATACACTCACAACATAACATATGTATGACTACTTCTTAGTTTCTTGTTTGGGAGAAGTGGTCAAGATTTGAGTTTTATGATTATTTTGTTTGTACTTCTAAAGCCAAATTGTGAATACTGAGTTGCCAATACATTTCAAATGAGTCTGAAGACTTCCAAAATATTCAATAGACTTACGATGAACATAAAACTGCCTGAGGACCTGGTAAAAACGGAAGTAGGTAAAGGTATTTGAGTTATTTCACATTCTTGGCAAAGTTTCTTTCAGAACACATTTTCAGTATAAACACATTCACTAACCATACTGAAGAATCTTTCCCGAAAGTTGGTGGTATGATTAAATTTTAGAAATGTTGCTGGGGATTTAGCTCAGTGGTTCTGGCGCCTGCCCCACAAGCGCAAGGTCCTGAGTTCGATCCCCAGTACCAAAAAAAAATAAATAAAATGTATCATCAACATCTAAAACTTGCCATGAACTTTCCTGGGACTATGAATTATTTTACTCAATGACTGACATGAAATTCTGACACGGAATTATAGGTCGGTCACTTTCAACAACGTAAAAGTCAGAATGGCAAAATAATCCAGTTTTTCCTTACAACCTGTACACAGAGCCAAGATCCCAACAGCCACCCGGCGTCAGACTCCACTGTAAACATCAGCAGTCACAGACACAGGCTGCAGAGAAGTAGAAGCCATTTCCCTCCCGGCCAATTCGGGATGTCTTAACCACAATTTAATCAATACAAGCAATACGTGAATAGCTGCAACCGTAATCAGTGTGCCAGGATTATTCGTTATTGAAATGTTACTCAAATAACAAAAATCTCTTTGCAGAGCAAGAAAGGGCAAGCACCTCAGTCAGATGCTTTATGTTCTCCTTTTCCTCCTCCACCTCCTCCTCCTCCTCCTTCATCTTCTACAGAATAATGCAGTCCAGGAAATGTTTTTCACCCAGTTTCTTACACACACAGTTGTGGATTAAATGCAAACACAATGCATAATCTGCCCACTGGGAGGTTACAATCAGGTGAGAAGCCCTAGGAAATAATTCACCTGGGCAGACTCCAAGGCTAGTAATAACAACATTACAAGCCAGGAATGAAAGACGTTCAGGAAGATAAAGTATATCCAGGAGGGAAACAACAGAAAACACGTGGAAAGGCTCCGGAGGCAGAGGACAATGGAAGGAGGAATAGGCCTTCACTACGCAGCCCGTGGTACATGGGGAAGAGGACACTGAAGAAGGAAAAGGTGGGGCTGGGGATGGGTCCGGTGGTAGAGGACACGCCCAGCATGCGGAAGGCCAAGGGGTTTTGCATAGAGGAACAGAGAAGATTCTCGCTAAGCTTCTTTCATGAAGACTTAGCCCACTAACCAGATGTAGCAGTAAGAATGGGAAAAGAAGACTGGAAGGATAATTACAATGCTTCTTTTATCTTTATTCTTTAATTTTTAAATAATATGCATGCCTTGATAGGCTTCCATAAACTAATTTATTCCTTCGAGTGATTTCGCTAATTAGGAACTGTTATCCATGTTTTACCGGTTAGAAAACACTGGCTTGGAGGAGATCGGTGACTTGCTCCGTTTTGCAGAGCTGCTGAGACGCAGTGTGGAGATTGAAACCCTAGTATTCCCAGGCCTGTTCTCATAAGCATTGTGCTCTCCTACCTCTGCATTTGAACATAAGTCAGGGAATGTATTTCAAATGAGACCGCAGCTCCTTTGAAGAGGACACCGCAGACTGGCAGCATCTAAGATGATTTTGAATGACCTGTCCCCTAGAGTGACACCCACTGGAATGCAGGCTGGACACAGCTGCCTTCTAAAGTGGAAGTGACAGGATGTGACTTCCAAGACCCAGGGCCTCTCCTGTCACCTGCTCCTGAGCTCTCTCCTGGATCACCGTTCCCAGGACAGGCAGCCACCCCACTGTGAGGCAGCCTGAGGCAACACCCATGTGCAGAGGGACAGGGGTCTGCCACGGGCGACTGTGCCACAGACACATCGTGAGCTTGAAGCCGATCCCCCCCATCCCCACCATCTCCCCCTTCTGATGGTCTTGCAGACCAGCCTGAGCTTTGCTGCAGCCACAGACGCCCAGACCCAGTTGTGCTCAGATTCTTGATCCAAAGAAATGGGGACATAATCAATGTGTACTGATTCAAGCTGCTAAATTTCAGGATTTGTTACCTGGCCCTAACTAAGCCAATGGACAGCAACTGCGTAAATCACTGCTGAATGCATCTTTTCCTTTATCTTTGGAGCAGAAGGCACCAGTGGAAGAGACTACCTGAGATAAACCACAAGCAATCAGCCCAGATGACAGGATGCTGTGGCCTTGACCTTTCCATCCAAACATATATATGTCAGGCCATCTGGTTATCTCATTTTCCTATTGCTTTTCTTCCCTTCCACCCTCCTTTTCTTGAATATATTCTTGGGACTAAGACTATGAAAATCTAAATCTTAGGTTTGTGAAATCATATTAAACTCATCACACAGCTAACTCTTTCCTTCCCAAAGGTTGCCTGTTGTGTTGTGCATTCCTCTTCCTAAAGCACATTGGTAGCTTTAAGTATCTCTTTTCTAGGCCTCCCTCCCTAATCCCTTACAAAACATATCTTGTATAATCTCATGTTCTGGTAGCTCTTGCTTAACATATGGATGGCTGGAGTTTAATACAGGTTGAATGAGTGAATGGCTAAATGTATTGCACAATCAGTGAACCAATGAGTAAGTCCACAGGCAAGATATGGGGTGGGCGGTAGGAAATGTCACCTGAATGCTGCAGGCTGCAGTGCAAATCTGAGCCTTCACACCAGCCATTTCTCTCTAGAATGTTCCTCCGCTGACTTCTCAACTCAACCCCACCCCATCACCACCATGATTTGCCAAGCTTTTCCCTCTTTAACCCTTAGCTCAAGTATTTGTCTGCTCACCTCTAAACACATATGTTATGGTTGGGTTCCAAGATGTCCCCCAAAAGCCTCTTTGTGTTTTAGGCTTGGTAGCTCATGGGCTTTGGGGAATGGACAGGACCATGAAGACTCTGACTTCATCAGTGCACTGACCTCCTGAGGACTTAAAATTTGACGGCATTATTGGGAGGCGATGAAGACTTCGGACTAGTTGAAAGGAGTAGTCACCAACAAGTGACCTTAGGGACTACATCCGGTCCTCATATGCTTCTCCTCTACCTCTCTTCCCCCATCACTCTCTGCTTCCTGGCTGGCATGAGGTGAGCAGCTTTGTTCCACCAAGCCCTTCAGCTGTGAGGTTCTACCTCCCCTCAGGCCCACAGTAATGAAAACAAAGAACCTAGAATTGAAAGCTCTGAAACCAGGAGCCCAAATAAACCTTTCCTCCTTTGTGCTGTTTATATCAGGTATTTTGTCACAGTGATGGGAAGCTGACCGATACATCCTCCTCTGGCCAACACACTTGTCAGTCCCAGCTTCCTATCCCCTGCACTGAGGCCTTTTCTTATGCTCCTACAGCCTCCCAGCATTCCTCAGTCACAGCTCTCACCATGCCATGCTGCTGTGGTTGGTTCCTAGACGTCATTTCCACTTAAGGACAACCTCTCCACCTGTGCCTACATGTCTAGTCACCAGGGTACCCAAGCCATTTGAAATTGTGGCATGGATGGGAAAAAAAATTCTAGAAAATTATTCTGGCACAATCTGTTCGTTCCTTCCAGACAAGAGGTCAATCAGATACCCACACTGCTCCAGTTCTTGAATGCAGTTGGACTGATATAATTACATATCATCATTATTGTCGATTTAGGGAAATTATAAGTAGAAAGAATGGTTCTGTCCATGGACAGGGCCTGTGCAGAACGGTCTTCGACACTCTTTCCTGTCCTTCACATTCCTGATTCTGTTTCAACCTTGGATTCCCAGTGCTGTCCCCAGGTGACACCAGGCCTCTGCTGAGAAATCCCCCATAGCTCTTCCCAAAAACTGTACAGTCACATGCCCTCAGGGCTCTGAAGGGCAACTGAGCAAGTCGGAAAAATAACCTGGTTTAATAGGAAAACTGGGGCTCCTATTTTGATGTGGCTCTTCTGCTAAGGCCGGGCTTCCCTCAATGTGCAGTGAGAAAAGGCATTGAAGAACAGAGGAGCTTTCCAAAGCCCTCAAGCACAAGGCAGAATGAGCACCCTCCTGGCACTGTAGATGACGTCTTGACTGAGGACCCCAGCTCTGCCCCTCTCTGATCTTCTGGTCTTGGACAATCTGACGGGTGACCAAGCGATTCATCTATAAACTGACACAATGTTAAGACTCACCTCACAGGATGGCTGAGAAGGTCACACGGGTTAAGAGAGGCAAAGTACTCAGAAAGTGCTGAGTAAAAAGAAAGCAATCAATACTTATCTGCTGTTACTGTCATTACCATTCTTACCAGAATGAGAAAAGTCAGGGGAGCTCACACTTACGGATTTGGTTGTTGAGCTTAAAGGCAATGTCCAGCTGCAGGATAAAGAGCATGAACTGGAACCAGGGGCTCATCTCCATGTTGGGGAGGGGAATGTGGACGGAGAACACAATGTCATTGGCTTCGATCTCCCGCGGAATTGCTTCCTCAATGTCTCGGATCTTGTCGCATTGGTTGAGACCCCAAGGCATCAGCCATTTTGCCTTGTGGTGGTTCTTCCGGACATCCACACATTTCACTGACAAGTAATTCACTGCTGTCGTGGGCCCTGGAGCTGGAAAGAAGAGAATGGTTTTCTGTTTTAAAAAGCCTGCCGGAAAAAAATAAAAAAATTCAATTAAATTAAAATAAAAAAAAATTTAAAAGCCTGCCAAAGGGGCTATTGCTAGTTAGTGTTCTTTCCATTAGTGTCTTCTCCCTGGTGTGTGCGCTGCTTTCCACACCTGGGGGTAATTCCCAGGGGCTTCTGAACACAGTGAACAGAGTTCTGAACAGAAAGGAGTTCTGAACAGAACTCCTTCAGTGACCTCCAGGGGGTCATAAAAGTGTCCCCAAGCCCCATCCCACTGAGTCTCCAGATGCTGCTATTAAAGCACACATCTGAAAGCAGCCTGATTCAGTCACCTCTTCGCTCCAAACTAATGTCCCAGAGGCACCACCACTCCAGGTCCCACCTCCCAAGAACAGGGCCCTGGGGCTTCAGAGAGGCCCGGGAAGTCACAAGACTGGTTCTAAGGCAGGGTTACACAGCCTACGGTCAGCAAACTTTGGCTCATCAGTCACCTCTATTCTGGCTTCAGGCTGGTTATCTGAGAAACAAGATAGTTGGTTTCAAAGACTGCTCTTGGCTCTCAAATTCTTCAGCTCTGCACTTACTACCTTGCCCTCAGGATGGAAGATGGGAACTAAACAAGGCTGACCCTTTGAAGGTGGACAAAGGCTCCATGGATGTCCACGAGGCAAATTGGAAATGCGTAATATTGAAAACTTTATTTCGTGATTGTCAAGTGGTTACATCATTAGAATACAAAATTTGCAAAATGCAAGTGTTTTAAGTTTCAAAACAACATTTACCCCAAATTCCATTAGAGGGAAGTAACCACTATTAGAAAAAATATCAAAACACTATCAGTCTTTTCTGGCATGTAAGTGTATAAAATTTTACACAGAAATTAAGATGCATATACCAATATTCACATATTTTTACAAAATAGGATCAAATGCCTAGTTTTATAGCCAGGTCTTCCGACTCCCATATTGAAATAGGGTAGCAAATGAGCTTTTGCAGCCAACCTATCTGCTGTCAAGTCCTGCTCTTCTATTCCCAGCTGTGTTACCACAAATCCACACCAGGAAAGTTTGAGGTGAAGTACTAAGCCCATTTGTGTACTTGCTTTGCCATTTCTTAAAGGCAATAATAACAGCACCTATTTCTCCAAGTCCCTGTATACAGTAAACAAGTAACTGTGAAAAGTGCTCAGAATAGCACTTGAACACACGAAAACTAGAAAATTAGTGTTAGCTATTATAAATATTTTTCATGTGATTAAAAATTTTCAATTAGTGGTTGAAAACATTAATCACATAAGATACCAATATTATTCTTTCATCAGTTTGTAAAAGTGATGTATAGACAGCTGTAATCCTAATTTTTTTTGCTAGTAATTATTGCAAACTTTTCCATCTGCAGTCTAAATTTGTTTATGGCATATTTTAATATAGAGAAGTTGTACAATCCCTCCTTTCCTCTATGTTTTTTGATCAAGCTTTTGTGCTTCTAAATCTCCAAATTCAATGAACAGCCATCTATATGGACTCCCAGTTTACTTTCCACAATTTCACTTTTAAAACATTTAAACAGTTGATTCACCTGGAATTTGCTTTGACATCAGGTATGATGTGAAATTATTGACTCATGCACTGGCCCAGGACAGTTCAGAATCCTACGAATCGCTAGTTTATGTCAATACCTAATGGAGGAACTCCTCTCATACCAATCGACCTCAAATGTCTATCTTTTTGCTGAAATTTTTATTGCGATTACATTAACTCTATAAATTAATGTGGACAGAATTCAGCACTCTTTCCCAGAATTTAGTTTTCCCCTCCAAACAATACTTGGTTTTCCATCATCTGGAATCTCTTTTTGGATTTCTTTAAAAACTTTCCCAGTTTTCTTCATGTGAGCCCTATTAGTATGACATAATTTTAAAATATATCTATAAAACTTTCTTTGAAAGTTAATGATGAAAAGAAAACATAGTAAGTCATGGTTTACTATGTGTGTGGTTTACGTATGTTGAATTCTATGCATGTGACCCCTGGCATACTGTGTTTATAGACCTTTTGACAGCAAACATTCCTTTACTTAACAGAAATCAGACAGCAACTAGAAGGAATCTATGAAGCAAGAGGAAATCATGCAGGGGTCAAAGTGTATATTATTAATATTTTGCCCTAGTTTTAATGCTCAAATCCACAGTTTTAATCTGCCCTACTTCTGATGCTAACTTCACAGTTTTCTGTCCCTAAGTATCTACCCTAATGGTGAATTCTGAGTAGTAAAATGTTACCTTTGCAAAAAGTTGGGCTCATGATAATTAACACTTATCAGAAAATTCAGCACCACCAAACTACAGCTAAAACAACCTTTGAGTATCAGTATGTTGTCTACCACAAGGCAGGTCACTGCTAGTCCAAGCTAGGGGAGTTTTACTTTAAATCACAAAACTGAAGTTGGGTGTGGTAGTGCACGCCTGTGATCCCAGCACTTGGGAGTCTGAGGCAGGAGGATTGCCCTGAGCTCCAGGCCAGACTGGGCTACAGAGTGAGTTCAAGGCCAGCTACACAGAGACTCCTGCCCAAAAAATAAACAAGCAAAAAACAAAACCCTCAAAAGCCTCAAAACTACCACAAAAACTTTTTATAACTCACCCATCTGAAATCAGCCCTCTGGTTTATTATTAGACATATGAGTCTACCAAATTTTGGTCACCCCGACTCAGCTAAATGGCTCCCGACAGGGAGAATGACCAAGTGGCGCTTTTCCCCGGACCCTGTCTAATGTGGCTGGAGAAATAAGTAGTGAGACCAAAGTCATGAATTCTATTTTTGGCTAATGCAGTCAAGCTATTTGTGGTGGAAAGTAGTTACTACATTTTAAAACTTCTCTTCTTCCTAAATGGACCTAACCTTTTTTATTTATTTATTTTTCCTGATTGAAAAACAAGTCTCTGACTCCTCAGACCAAAATGGAAACTAACTGGTGCAGGCTGAGCCTCCGCTCACCTTCCAAACCACTTCCCCAGCACCGAGTTGAGCCATCGCCGGGCAGGGCTCCTTCCGGTGGCCTCTGCAGCCGCCCACTGGGCAGCAGCCCACACGGCCTTATTCTGTCTAAGGTTTGTCCATAAAGAAAAAGTCTCAGGAATACTAATATTTTCAGAGATCCTGGTGGTGAACTTGGAGAAGCCTAGAGTGCATCCTAAGGTCTCCTATGCCCATGACACATTTTCTTCACTTCACTAAAATAGTTCTCCAATTGCAACAACTTTTTTTTTTTTGCACAACTTAAATACCTGAAGACGATTCATCATTTTCCTAGTAACGCTCAAAAGGAAAAAAAAAAATGCCCACACTGTTTGAGAAAGTAAACTGACAATCCTGATACTCAAACATGGACAGTTAATATTTGCCCAATAAATCTTTACAACCCTGCCTCTTGCTTCGGCTCAAAGTCAGTTCTCAGGGGTTTCTTTAAGGAGAACACATATGGAGTAAGCAAACAACAAAGTTTAAAGCTCACCGGTGGCCTGGCACAGAAGGTATTTTCATTCATTAGTTGTGGCCCTAATTTTTCATTCATTAGTTGTGGCCCTAATTGTGACTCTACGAATCATAAAATGGAGTCTGGAGTCAGGAGAAATTTGATCTGTCTTTCAATTTTTTAAAGCGATTTTATTATAAAAGAAAAGAGCTAAATGGAGAAAGTTGAAATTATCTGCAACCTTTGAACAAGATTCAATCAAGAACCAGACAGGTCTGGTACGGAAGGCCTTCCTTTAGCCACTAACCCAAGAGGCTCTGGGAATCAACAGAGCTTGTGTATTTAAGAAGGGGCTGTATTCAGATCAACCACCCAGTCGTGTTTGCTCAGGTGAAAGATAAAAATAACCGCTCTTCAGTACTCCAGGGTAGTAATGCAATATCACCCAACCGCCCCAGCCCACACTATAAATGTCCCCTCTGCCCATCCACGGCACACAATTTTAGTTGACAACAGGAGGTCCACAAGCTACTTCTACATCACTGCAACGTGACAGAGCAATCTGGTCAAACATGAGTACGTCCCATTACTGTGAATTGGTTACCTTACGCTGTGGTGGGCAAAGACAGCACTGAGAATGTGCACAGAAACTAGAAAACCATGAGCAAAGTGGCCCGTGCTGAGCTGAGTTCTTTCTTACTCACAGGTCAAATGTAGGCCGTTTTTGCCCTTCTCTCTCTGTATTTTAATGAAAGAGTTTGGCCTCCATTTCTCCACTCCAGTATTCAAATGGTGAAATGTGACACTGCACTGTGTTTAAAGTGATACAGAAGCAGTGAGGCTTCAAACAAGGTCCAGGTTGTTGAGAAACGCACAACATAACTTCGTGCCCCTTGAAAACCCGGGTCCCTCCCACACGTCACTACCTTGGTGGTCCCGAGTTCCGGCCGTGTGCCAGACGCCCTTAGAAGCTGGGATGCGGCCGAAGGCCCTCAGCCTCGCAGAATGGTCAAATACTGGAATCTTTATAGTTATTTATGGTAATAACTAACTACAGGGAAGTCAATAATAACTGAAGTGAATGTTATATTTACCCTAATATTACCCGAGGCGGCAACAGTCGGTTATCTAGGATGTAGGAAAAATGAATCTATTACAACGTGACAAACATTCCATCATTGCAAGGTGACTCTCACTACAAATGTAAGTGAACAAATTCTAACCCATACTTCTTTGGGAGGGATTCTGTCCGACTGCAGCCAGCTTCCTGTTGTCTACTCCCCAGTGCCTCCCAGCGTATAAATTACCATCCAGCCAGCCACTGCCATCCTCATGCTCAAAGCTGAGTCAAGACCAATTCATTCGTCCCTTCTCCCTCCAGAACCTGTAATTAAAAAGTTTGACAGAGAGAGATACAAGACTCAGTTGTCTCCTAGAAAAGTTAAAATAAAACTAAAACAACATGCTGTTGGGCCTGTGGCCTCCATGTGGGCTGACACATGCTGTTTCTTTGCTTTACTGCGAGCAACGGAGTTTCCCTTTGC